TCGGGATACCCAATGCTTCGAAGTCTCGCTCGTATCAGGAAGGCGACTGAGTTTACACCATGCATCATCTTTTCTCTCTTCAGAGTTAACCAAGCCATGGCTTCGTTGAAATGAGGTTATGATCTGACTTAAATGTTGAAGATAGCTGTCATCAGTTGCTTCTTTAGGGTTTCGTTAGGTTTTTCTATGCTTTAGGGTTTCTACTCACCAATTGGGGTTTTTCTCTCTTTTCACATTCTAACCCTAAAAGAGGTGAAAATTAACTTTTATAGACTAAAAAACACATGGAATATATAATTACAAAAAAAAATGGATCTGCCAGCTCAAAACTCAATTTTTTTGGTCAGAGGGCTGGGCGACACACTTTGTGTTGCCAGACCCAAGCTTCGGTGATACGCTAAGTGTGTCCCCTATCCCAAAATGGTCTAGATTCGTTGAAATTTGATTGGACTAGGCTGGCAACTAGAAGTACATGATTTTGTTTAATCTAGGGTGAGCGACACACTTTGTGTCCCAACCCAGATTTGACCAAAATCTGAAATTTCCAATTTCGTGGTGATTTACTTGTTTTTGCTATTTCTCCTTGATTATTTCCAAAATCGGTAAGTCTGTCAGGATACTGGATCATAGGATGGGAACTATGGTGTTATGTGGTTCAGGGATTTCTTGAAATAGTGTGGTCCTAAGGGTTTAGAAAATAATGAAATTTGCATTGTTAAAAAATTTGCATCCCAATAATCTCTTCTTGGGTGAGTCGCAAATGTACTAAGTTAACCCACTGCATATGCAACAACTTATTGCATAAATCAAACTTCTAATTACTCAATTTGAGAAATACGTCTTCCCTTATTTTTCATTAACTTTATATGGTGATCTATTGACATGAAACTGACTCATGATCACTACGTTCAAACTTATTGAGCATCTTTTCAATTTATTGATATTGGATTAAAATAACACATCATCCTTTCTTATTGCCTTAATACCTAGTTTTACATCATCTACTCCTAGATACTTTATATTATAATTAGATATGTGGAATCTTTTCATTTCCTTCACAATTTCCAAGTTAAGGCCAAAGATTAGCATATGATCAATGTAAAGACTAAAGAAATATTATGACATATATCAAGTAAATTTTTTTACTATACATATACTTGTTTGCCTCATTTCTCATAAAACCATACGGTGATATTATATTATCAAATTTCTTATGCCAATATTATGGAGCTTGTTTAAGTCTATATAATGATTTGACCAATTTATATGTTTTATTTTCTTGTATACTCCATAGAATGAGTGTAGCAGATATGAGGGTGCTGAGATGGATGAGTGACAACACAAGAAGAGATAAAATTCAAAATGAAAACATTTGGAAAAATTTAGGTGTGCCACCAATAGGTGATAAGATGAGATAAGAACCTATTAGGAGGTGCGAGTTAGTTAAATGGAAGGCTAAAAAAGGCCAGAAGTAGGTTAAAAAATATATGATTGAAAGTAGTGAGAAACGGTAAAAGGATTTATTACCTCACTGAGGGTATGACCTTTAATAGAGCAGAATGGTGATCAGTATGTGTGTAGCCGACCCCAATTAGTTGGAAAAAAGCTTTGACGACGATGATATACTTTATTTTCTTGAACTAGATAATTAACTCCTCTGGTTGTTTTACATATAAATATTTTTTCATTTAATTCACCATTTAGAAAAGTGGTTTTCAAATCCATTTGGTGTATGATTAGCTAGTTAACTGAGGGAAGAGTGAGAAGTAGGTATCATTGTTACTTAAGCATATCTGTCATTGTCTATGTTTTCTGTTTAGTTAAATCAATTTAACAATATGTTTTCGGTTTAGTCAATCAATTTAACAACTAACATGGCATTGTACTTATTAATAGACCCATCGACAATCTTTTCCCTTTTGAAAATTTATTTTCATCCAGTAGGTTTAAAATCAAGCGGCAAATCTACGAAATTCCATGTTTTATTAAGAAAAATAGAGTCCATGTCACCATTTACAGCCTTTCTCCAAAATACAACATCATGAGATACTAATGCTTCATTCAATGAGAAAGAATATTACTCCACATTTGAAGTCATGAGTATTTTAGTCAATATTTTATTTTGATTAGCCATCATCAGGTGGATATAAAACTCATGCCTAAAATTATACTATCCCTTTAATTGGTTCATTACAAGTTTCTTATTCATCTCTTTTTGGAAGAGGATTATCATTTTATGATTCACTCATATGAGTTAAATTCTCAAAGAATTAGATATATCTAGATTCAATTTTACCTTAGAAGAAATTGATACGCCTTACTAATTTGTCCATACCCAATTAAAGCACATCTGGAGGTTTGGGGTCCAAAAATTGACAAACATACATATGCCAAACGAACCTCACACTTTGAAAATAATTGAATTTGTAATTTTTTTTGGAAAAGTATTTAGACGTAAAGGTTATTCTGAGTTCTATTTCAAATTAATTACCCAAATATGTCTAGTTTAAAATTATTCTACTCACAAGTATTTCCAAAAAATATTTTTCAAAGAAGAATGAGAATTGCCACTATTTGGATTTTTAAAAAAGGAGCAGAAATAATTTCAGCTAAAAATCAAAATTTCTATTTTTAGCCCAAAATGAAGAAATTATTTTTCATGCACCGATTGATTTCTTCTCTCTTCAATATATAACACCATCTCTTCTCTTCACTCTCTCCCCCATTCGATCACCATTGAAGCCACTTCTCTCTCTATTCCAACACGAGGAGAAGCATCCCGCCATCAAACATTATCCTTTTGAATTTTTGCTCTATGTTGAATTCCAAAAGGTCCTTTTTATTTTTATTTTTACTACTATTATTTCTTCAATTTTACAAGCATCATCAAACGTCTTACTGTTTTGGTACCATTTCATTTTGCAACTATTTATCTCTCTAAAATTGCCATTCTCATTTTACAACCCTAGACTGCACTTGTAATTTTTTTCTCTCTTGCTAAATGTAAAAGCTAAAAGCTATCATTGTTGCCTATGGCTAGCCAACAATATGGACCCTCACTTTTTCTCTCCTCTCTTTACAACCCAAAACCCACTCTTGTTTATCTCTCCTCTCTACCCAAAGGTCCAAAACCCACTCTCACCTCTCTTTATCTCTCCTCTCTACCCAAAGGACCCAGACCTGGACACAAAAAAATAGTATGGACCCAGACCCAGATCCGATCTAGAAATTAAGATATTTATATATTTAATTATGTTTAAACATATTTCGTATACAGGGACCTAAAAAATATTACCGGACCCTGACCTTGATCCAAACCCAGACCCAAATAATATTTGGGTCCAAGATTTGGACCCGGCCCTGACCTGCTGGGTCTAACTTTTAAACCCATACCGGACTCAGATTGGGTCTACCCCTAGGGTCCTTTGTCAAGTCCGGGTCCATTGTCACCCCCAACTTTTGTCTCCTTTGTCTGCCACTTTACTTCCTCTCCACTCTCTCTACCACAGCTATTCAAAACGCCCAACTCTAAAACTCGCTTCATTTTCACCCGCTTTCTCCTAGAAAATCTACTACATTTCACCCACTTTCTCAAAGAAAACCTCCATTTTAACAACAAAATACCACGAAAAATATAAAAATATATATAAAAATTATATTAAGAGCAATTTGCTTGAAAAATTGAGGACATTGTTGTTATTTAAAAATATTTTTAAAAATTTAATCATTATTCAATAAGTCAAAAGAATCTTTTTAAATTTAAAATTAAAATTTGAGATATTTGGAAAACACAAAAATAACCCCTTCTAAAATACACAAATTATATGTGGTTAAGGAAAATTGTTTCGTGCTGGACCGCATTTCTACATAAGCGGTCCAGAAAGTGTAAAGCATAGATCTTAAAGATGGATCCAAGTAGGTGCTCCATCTAAAAACAATAGAAACTAACGGTCCAAATGTTTTTTTTTTAGAATTAATATTTTTGTTTTTTTAAAATTATTTATTTTTTCATATCATAATCTTCATGTCAGAGATTACATGTCCTTAAAAATTAAGTCTTAAAATCTATCTAAAAAAAAGATTTATTAAGAGTCATGCATTTCTACATATACAGGTTTGACCGCATAGAAACCGGGTCTTATGGTTAAAAGCTATTTTTTAACATATAAAGACATTTGATGGTTAAAAGGTTTTTGTTTTAGAAAATGCTAACTTTGCATTTTTTGGCCAAAAGTTTTCGGAGCAATAAATTCTAAAATCCCCATAGGCGTGCGTGTGCACACTTTCACGCACGTGTGTTTCTAGAGTATTTTTGCTATAAAATAATATCTCCTTTGAACTATAGTATTTTGAAAAATGTATGTAGTCTCATTTATAAAAAGGGAAGTAGTATTTTTTTTAGAAAAATATACGTTTTCTATTTGAAAAATTATTTGTTAGAAGGAAAAATTTTATATAAGGATACTACCTTATAATGTAGCAATACGGATGCCCCTAAAAATTCCATCGAAAAAGGTAGTTTTAATATTGAAAAACCATTTGATCGATCATCTCGACATCAAGATGTACGACTATGAAAAATAAAAAGATTTTAAATTTCATAAATAGTACATTTTACAATATATTATCTACACCGTCCAGTTTCGAAATTTTTATATGTTTATAGATCTACTTGATTTTTAATTTTTTTTTAAATTTAAAATTTTATAATTAATTATAAAAATAAATTTTAAAATAATCCTAATAACAATTTACATCAAAATTATATTCCATAATAAAATTTGAAGGGCACCGTACCTCTACACCTACAAGGCCTCCGTTTCCAACGGGACTACTCTGTACGTCTAAGCTTGCCCTGGATCGACTTGAACCCACGCCGTGGACCAGAACCCACCAAACCGGGCACGTTTCGTTTTCACACGGAACCTACCTGCAATGTTCCCACGCGTAAAACCTCAATCTGAAAATGAAAAGCGTGAGCGGTATCTTTCCATATTTTCCCTCGATACGTTTTAGCTTCAAATCTCTCTCTCTCTCTCTCTCTCTCTATATATATATATATCTATATATATATATATATAACTGTAAAAGGTTTTACTTGTTTCTCATAAATAAACTGGGTTTTGGCATTTACACTTCAGATTTATTTGAAACCAGAAGCGGGGACTTAAGCGAGGAAGAATTTACAGAGAGAGGACCCCCAGGCACCTAAGAAAACTCTAACCCTAATTGTGAGTGTGATCATCTCCCCTTCTAGTCTAACCCTAATTTCGCTGTGATTCCTGGCTTCTTTCTTAGTTTTTTTGTGGCGGTTTTGCTCTGAGAAACTGCAGCCGTTCGGGTATATTTTACTTTTTTTTTTATGAATCGTTTTCTGGAAAATGTTTTCTTGAATCTTTTTCTGAGAATCGTTTTCTGGTAAGTGTTTTCTTGAATCTTTTTCTGAGAAGTTGCGGTTGTGTTTTTCTTCAGAGTTCATGGCTTTGTAGAAGGGGAAAAGAGAAGAGATGGGTCGTCCTGAACCGTGTGTTTTGTTTGCTCACTCCTTTGTCCATTCTCATCTTGATGAATATGTCGATGAAGTAAGTCTCTTCTACCTCAATGCATTTGCTATCACACGCACACACATATATAATGTGAATTGCTAATCTCTTCTACCTTAATGCATTTGCTTTCACACGCACACACATATAATGTGAAATGCTGATATATATGTTTATGATCTTATATACTTAAGCTTCTCCGTTCATATTGTTACAAAGATGACTTTTCCTTTTTTACATCTGTTTATTTAGCACTAGTTCCTAATGTGAAATGCTGATATATATGTTCATGATCTTATATACTTAAGCTTCTCCTTTCATATTGTGATATTTTTTTTTGTCACAAAGATGGCTTTTCCTTTTTTACATCTGTTTATTTAGCACTAGTTCCTACCAGTGGACGTTGGTTCTATAATATTTTCTGTCTTTTGGGCAGGTAATTGAATTTTCTTAATGGGATTTTCCGTCATGGTGTGAAATTTGAAATTTCTGAATGAATGTACTTGCCAGGGTGTTTAATAAGTTTATTCAAGAAAAGTAAGCTTTATCAAGCCATCAATTTATCCCTATTCGTAGGGATAGAGATAGATTACAAGCTACTAAGAAAGAAGGATACCTGCCGTATTGATGTTGCATCTTTAAGTTTCCTTCAAAAAGGTAGGAAACTAGAGTACACAGCCAACAGTGATGTGGTTTCATAAATTAAGGCAAGGGGCCGTTTGTTGACAAAGTCAGTCATAGGACGCTGATCAGTGCAGAGCTTGTGTTGCGGGGCAAAATTTCGTTTAGGACTATGTTGTTGTGTATAAGTTGGACTTTGCTTATCTGTCCAGCAGACCTCTATAAGGACTAGATTTTGCCTACATCTCTTGTTTTCTTGATGAAGCATTTCTTGATGTGTATCTTGATGAAGCATTTCTTGACGGGTATCTTCTTGGGGAGGCCTATGTGCATAGTTCTTGATGGCAATTATTATGAGGTCTCCATCCTCTAATATAATTTCTTTGCACGCTCTAATATATACGAATTTGCCTCTTTGATACGTAAACAACACTTCATTTGTAGTATACTCCCTTTGGAAGGCTCTTTATAGTATAACATCCAAGGCATGTAAAGTGATATGGGCATTTTTGTGGGCGGTGGGTTTATGCTCTTGTTACATATGCTTCAAGATGGAAGAAGAAAATAAAAAAAAGGTAAGGGAGAGGCTGGATGGGAAGAGAATAATAACTAGAAAAGAAGAGTAGAGTAGCAGGGGCTTAGGCCATTGTATAAGTTTAACAACAAGCTTCACTCCATCCTTATCAAGCCTATCTGGCATTTCATTAGCCTTTTTAGGTACATGATGAAAAGTAGAGCCAATGTAGTAGCTCAAGTATAGGATTTCTTTTCTTCCATGATATTTCCCACACGGCACCATATAGGAGGCTCTCCCAATCATTGTTCATAAATTTGTTTGCCTGGCATGCTAGGGAAAAAAATCCGAGTAGTAAAGGCCAAGGTGGGTGCACTAGGCTGTCATGTTCCTACGCATGGGGTACCCTAATGCTCTTGGCTGACGATGGAAAAAGGCCCTCGGCCATGGGCAACAATGACATGTTCCCCCTAAAAAGGGGGAAGAGGTTTTGTAGGGCATTCTAGCCCCCAAAAGCCACTTTTGGGCATTCTCAAGAGAGAAAAACACCCCCAAACTTTGTGTTTTTGAGATTTTTCTCAAGATCAAATGTTTTTTCAAAATTTTCAATTTCTTGCAAAATCAAAAGTTAATCTACTAGATACGTTTTGGGGCTTAGCTATTTGATTTTGAAAAGGTTAGAGGAGAGTGTGAATAAAGAGGAATTGTGGAGTGGGGATGACTTTGATGATGATGGCATAGCATCATCATTCGATTTAGATGCATCTAATGGTAGTGGTTATATTGTTGGGAGCGATGATGAAACTCTTTTGTCAGTTTTAGTTCGTCTGATGTGATGTAACGTTTCAAATCTTGTTGGTTTATGCATTTTGAGTTTTGTTGCCCTTTTTTTTTATTTACATTTTTGACTTTTTGCCAGTGTCGAATGTTGATGTGGATTATTGATTATGGACCTATGGCATATTGGCATTTGATGAGTAATAGAATGCAACTTTGTATGGGTTTGAGGCAACGTTCAACCTCATAACGTGGCATTTCAAATTCAAGTTTCATCCCGATTCATGTATAAATTTGAAATAGGACAACACAATTACACAAAGAAGCCCTGAAAATTGATATATGCATATTATATTTTCAACCCGATTCATGTATAAATTTGCAATAGTACAACACAATTACACATAGAAGCCCTGAAAACTAATATATGCACATATATAATATGTATATGTATAATTTATGTATGTATGTATGTTTGTCAAAAAGTTCATTTGGGAGGTTTTGTGATCTGATCCAGGCCCCTATGATAGAGGGCCCAAAACCCCGTAATTTGTGTTTGGGCGGTGTAGGCTTCTAGGCACCTACCTAGGCAGCCACATCCGAATTTTTGAACACTGCTCACAATGCCCACCAAATGAGACTATGGAAATCACCTTCTACAATGCGTTGTGATGAGAATGGTTCGGGGAAAGATCCTCAGCTCAGTCAACAAGGAGACCTCTACTGTAGTCAAGTCATGTAAGCTGATAGGGCCTAAGCAAGATTTTAGAACCTGCCATTTACTACATTGAAGGTCCTGCATGACCCTATTGGACTTGAATTCCATTGGGTTCCTGTCAAACATCTGGGCTTAATGGATGCAAGTGGTGGACGGGACCACCTATGGCTCTGTCTAGACTGGTGTTGCACCAAAAAACCATCCTACTCTATGATGAAGTCTTGGGTTCTCCCTTTATGCAGAGAAGGAGCCACCATATCCAAAGATATAACCACATTCACAATCCTCTTGCAAAGGTTACCATGTGGTGTCTTGTGCTTGATAAAATCCTTTCACTTGCTTTTCTTCCGTAATTCCCATAAGGTCAGTGGTAGACACATCATCTATAATATGAAGCTCATTGAATATTGCAATAGGCTACCAACTTAGGATGACCTAATTTAACTGTGCGAAAGACGTCAAAAAGAAGCCTCATAGCTGTTGAGGGTGAAAAATTTAGCATTTGGATATGGCGAGAATGTGGTATCCCAAACCCTAAGCCATCCAAGGAGGTCTGATACAGGAAGAAGGGAGGCTGTTGGCCATCTCTCCTAGCCGTGCAATAAGAGAGAGAAAGGACAAACTCTCTCTATGTTGTGCCAGAGAGGGCCCATGTGGGCTCCACTTGCAAATTCTAAAGTGGTCGGACCCTTCTTTCCAAATTTCTAATTAGATTAGGGTTTTATGTTGAGTCTCTTCTTTTGTTTCCTAGATTGAATAGGTCTAACCAGTAGGTTTTTTTTTTTTATATTTAAATTAGGAGTGAGGGTCACATAAGTAGATGATTTCATGCTCAAATTAATTTGATTGAAGGTACAAGGGTAATTGTAAATAGAGATGTAGGCCTATGGCCAAGACAATGGAAAATTCCTTATCAAACAAAAGTTTGTTTTTAAAGCTGTGATGTGGTTTGATTCCTCATACTTCCCTTACGGTGTTTATTCAAGGGAAAATATCTTTGTAAACCCTATTTTTAAGTTTCGTTTCTCCACAGACCCAAGGATTCAAAACCTATCTTAGGGCATAGAGATTCTATCTATTATATATTCTAACCTTCTAGACTAACTTTACCCATTTTTACCCTGTCTTTTTAGCCTAAACAAATTAAAAAAAGACATCATTTCTACACCTCGCTCTCTCTCTCTCCCCCTGTGAATTTCCCAAACCCCCTCTCTCTCTCCATACTTCCCCAACTCTCTCTCTCCGTCTCTCACTCCTCTCCCCTTATGCTTCCCCAAATCCCTCTCTCTTTGTTTTCCCCCATACTCTCCACGCTTTCTCTCTCTTTCTCTCTCTACCCACAAAGACAAAAATCAATTCTACTTCCTCCTCATCTTCCTTCTCGCGCATCTTCCCGTAGACGTCCAATACGATACCAGCTCAAATCAATATCAGCCGGAAAGATGTCAACTGTCCACCCGCAACCAAGGATGAAGCCATTAACCAAGCCAGAACATGCCTCTTGAAAGCGCTTGAAAAGCCCCTTAATAACCCAAGTCTCACTGGAAAATTAAAGAAGTAGAAACAACCAAGATTCAGGCTTGAAATTCCGGTCATTGGTGAAACCCCGCAATCTCTCACTGGAATAGCTGTTGAACTTTTCAAAAAAATTAGAATCAAAAGTAATGTATACTTGTTCAGTTTGTGTTATTCTGGTCAGATTCTAACTTTGTCGATGAAGCTGATCGGGCGCTTGAGCCGTTCCAAACTATAAAGAACGTCGAGCTTTCCGCAATGAAAGTAGGGAATCAAGGTGGATTTTCTAGATTGGGTGATGTGGTGGTTTTCATAGCTCCTGATTCTACCTAGCTTGAGCTTGTTGAAGCTGTTTGTATAGATATTGATGCAAAACTAGTTTTGATTTTCAATCCAAAATGGGGTTTTGATGAAGAAAGTGATTTTGGAAGGATGGGTAGTTATATTTCTTCTTTTGAAGTTATTTATTCGTTTATGGGGTTGGAGGTTAGAGGGGCATTGAGTAAGAGAAGAGGAGTGGTTTTCAAGGGCGATAATGGAGGATGGGAGGTTTTAATGGAGGATGAGGGAGAATTGAAGATGGTTTCGAGGTTTAAGAAGATGCCTTCTACAATGGAGGTTGAGAATGTTTTGTATAATTTGATGGCCATGAATTCTCCCCTCTTTGGGGGTAGGGGGGGAGAGAGAGAGAGAGAGAGAGAGAGAGAGAGGAGGGGTGGAGGGTGGAGAGCATGGGGAAAACAGAGGGAGAGGGATTTGGTTAAGCACAGGGAGAGAGAGAGAGTTGGAGGAAGTATGGAGAGAGAGGGGTTTGGGAGATTCATGGGGAGAGAGAAAGAGAAAGACGTGAAGAGAGAGAGGGGGTTTAGAAAGGATGTCTTTTTTAAATTTGTTTGGGCTAAAAAGATGGGGTAAAATTGGTATAGGGGGTTAGAAGATGTAATATATAGAATATCTATGTCTAAAGATAGGTTTTGAAACCTTGGATCTATGGAGAAATGAAACCTAAAAATAGGGTCTATCGAGATATTTTTCCTTTATTCAAAGAAAACCCTAGAATGGTATAGGGTTGTGTCTATGCAATTCTAAGTCTGGCCGTGGTTTATGTAGGATTTGATGCCTTTTCCATCTATGCTTCCTTCTCCATCTTCTATTCACATACCCTCTCTCATACTCGTGTCAAGGGTTGGGAGGCGTTTCAAAGCAGTTTTCACACAAATTTGTGTGTCACGGCAGAACATACATTCATCAACCGTGTCTATTGCACACTTGTTTCAATTTTTCACTTGTTGGAAACATATTCTAAGATTTACTTTTGAATGAGAGTGCTCTTTTTATTTTTGCAATGATACATGTACAAAAGATTTTCTACTTATAAAAGGTGAGTGTTTACTGACACGTGCTCTAAAATTTATTTTAGAAAGAGACATTCTATATCCTGTGTTGTTTCTTAATGTCATCATCATCATCAAAGCCTTTTCCACTAATTGGGGTTGGCTACACGAATCCTGGTCCGCGTTTAGGATTCATGATAAGTTTTGACGAAGTTTTATGTTGGCTGCCTACTTAACACAACCCAACTCCTTTATCCAGGAATGGGACGGGTTAAGGGATAGTTTAAGCTCCTCCCCCTTCTTAGACTTCTGGTTTTTAATGTGGCACCCAAAATCACTTTGTAAATATTCTTTTTTTTATGCTCTTTTTATTCTATCGCTAGACAAACCTCACCTTAAAATTATATGATAGTATTTTTATTACATAAATTATAAAATATTGTTCTTTTGAACAAGTTACATCAATAAGAGGTTATCCTCCATTTAGGTCAATTCCAAGTTTGCTTTTAAAGCAAGCAATTAATACAAACATTGCAATTTTTTTATCATTTTATCATGTAATTGCTAACCTTGTCTTTTCAAGTTCAAAGCTTTACAACCCCATGAACAATCTTATTAATTATATAAAATCATACAATTTGTATACTTTAAATAGTATGGGTGTTTCTCGTCCATGGCTTTGTTTTTATGGTTAACATTTTCGACACTTGTGTTTGTGATTGCTACAAATATGTGATCTCTGTTTACTCGTTTCATAGCTCATACCCCTTCTACACACCCTAAAACCTGTTTGTCATACATGCAACCCTAGATGTCTTCTACCATATATGCACAAATTTCACCCACTAACCCTAGAGAACCACCTTCACCCATGAAGCCTTAGTCTGTTCTTTCATCCCTACTCGCCTCTGAACCCCCTAAACCATTCCTTGCCTGCCTTTTATACATACAACATCATGCCGTCTTCCACTAATCCATCAATCCATTCCTAACCTACAAAATTAGCAATGTAATATGCTCTTACCCCACTCGTCCTTCCAACCGATAATTCCCAACCTGGTAACTATATGTGATTGTGTTTGTGTGTGTACTATGTTTATACCAGCCATACCCATATCCCAATCATACCCATACAAAAACCTTACCCCTGTAACGACACCCTATCTCCTTAAACTCTAAGTTCCCCAGGGCTACCTTCCAACCTGAACCTAAACGCACGATGACCCTGCCTTGTCCAAGTTCCATAACTGTAATTATTAAACCCTGAGCTTTATTTATCTAGCCCACCGAACCCTAGTACTTGTGTAAGGTTGTAATCCCTTGTTCCTACATCATTAGGGTTGAGGACAATGTGGGGGGATGGTTAGCTCAGGTGCTGGGGAATGATGAAGATGGTGGGTTGGGGTGTGGTGGTTGGATGTGTGGGGTTAAAAGTGTGGCTGCTTGAAAGAAAGAAAAGGATGCTCATGCCCACATCTATGTGGATTGGAGAGAAAGATGTGAGATCTGGAGGAAAGATAGAGGAAGAAGGAGATGATGACAGGCTTTGGTAGTCATTGGTGGATGCCAATGAAGGGTGTGTGGGTCAGATGGGAGAAGAAGGAAAGTGAAGGAAGGGACCCCCTAGCTTGATATAGAATCAACATCACACCAAGCTCAGGTTAGCTCTATTATTGAATATAGAATCCACACTACTACACATACCTCAGGTCTTTATGGGATCAACATCATGAGAAGGGTTGAGGAGTTCAAACTCAATCAAGACTTTTATGGAATCAACTCCATGAGTAGGGTTGAGCAATCAACAACTTGATGGCATCCGCCATAAAACATTTTACACTCAAACTTCATTGTGTTGACTATAGGCCTTCATCTCTATTTATAATGACCCCAAGACATCTAATTTTAAATATCTCGGACCTCAAGTCATCTAGTGCCTTGTTACATCTCCTAATATAAAAAAAGGAGGGGAAAACTTCTCTAACTATAGAATTGAATCCCTTTAGGGAACAAGAAGAAGTCACCAGACTTAATAGGAAACCGTAATTTGACTTTAAAAAAAAAAATCTATAAAATAATGGGTTCCACATGGGTCTGTCCAGCTTCTCTCTTGAATCTCTAGAGTGCTCCTCTCTCTCTCACTCTCACTTTCTTGTGGGGTCCTTTGCCTCATTTCTTCTTCTCCTTGTGGTGTTCCTCTTTGGATTTGTTAGGGTTTGGAAAATGCTCATCATCAATGAGAAGCTGAAGAGAGAGGATTGTCGACGTGCATGGATGAAAGACATTGCGGAAATGTGAACAAAGGTTTAACACTTTAGCTTTCACCCAAAAAAAGAAACAGGGGTCCTTTGTCTCCTTTCTTGTTCTCCTTGTTGTGTTCCTCTTTGGATGAGTTAGGGTTTGGAAAATGCTCATCATCAACAAGAAGCTGAAGAGAGAGGATTATTGACATGCATGGATGAATGAGTTCATGGACGTGAACAAAGGTTTAGCACTTTAGCTTTCACCAAAAAAAAACCACCATCGTTTTTTTGCCTCAATATTGGTTTCTCAGCTTATGAATTTGAGTTGGGCGTGAACTTAATCAACATGTAAGATAGATGTGAGTACAAGTTGGTTCTTCCAAAACCCATGCAATTAATAGAAGAAACTAATTTGGTCAGTGAAGGATATGGAATTTATTGATGTCTTGAGAACTGGCCCAGGTATGGTAGTATGCTACTCAGTTGCTGGGCAAAGGAGCTAATTACAAGGTTGTTTTGGATTTAAGGAAGGACTAAAGTTCCTAATACACTTCTTTTTATCAGGAATTGTGGTTCTATGTCCTCAGGTTCACTGCATTTGTATTTGTTTTACAGCTATGGTTTGCACATATTTTGGAGATCTTTTTGCGTTTATGAAAACTTACTAAATGATATTGCTGCAGCATTTTAATAATGCCATTAAAGATTAAACTATTTTCTTCATTTGCAGGTCCAATTTACAGAACCAGTCATCATCACTGCTTGTGAATTTCTTGAGCAGAGTGCATCGTCCTCCTGTCCATCGGTTACAATCACAGGGTATGTTATACAGAGTTATTTATCATTTTAAGGAAATATTTTTCATTGTTTTGATAAAACAACATAATTTTGATAATGTTCTCCATAATGAGAAAGTGTAGGTTAGCTTGTTTTGGGTTATTTGACAAACTTCTAAGATTTGTACCCCTGATCTTCTTAATACAAACTGAGATGTCTTACCATTTAGACCAGACAAGTGTGATGAAAGCACATTTGTAGGAAAGGCTACTGTGGTGGAACTCTGAGCCACTAGACAGAAAATAACTGTGATGATTCACTAATGGGAAAAGTGAATTTGTAACACAATCTGCTACAAAGTGGTATGGGAAGTGTTCCCAAAGATATATGCCTATGGCATTCCGTATGTGTTCCTCTCTTTCATTTTATGCAATTGCAAGGGCTGTGCCCGGTTTCATCATGTATATACATACAGTGGTGTCCGTTCATCTTCTTGTTATCTTTCTCTGAACAAGGTTGGTTATGATATATGGTGATTGTGATCTATGGTTGTAGTTTGAGATTGATTGTTGTGCAACAAATCTTATTTATTGAGGGCTTTTGGGTTTGCCAGTGCGTGTCCTAGGGTATCTTTTTCAGTTCTCTGTGTCATTCTCTTTCCCATGATCTTTATTAGAAGATAGTGGGCATGAAATCCTTACAAAAAGCTATTATCTATTTCTTGCATAGATGGGCTACATGTCAACCCTTTCATTTGATGTTAAAAAAAAAGAAAGAAGGGCTCAGGTTGGTCTGTTTTTTGGGGACAAATTTCAAGGATTGAACCCTTGACCTCCCACTTCTATACCCTATATGTCAACCACTATGCTAAATACTAAGGGGCATGGGATGCTTCATTATGCTCTCTACAGGCATATACGGATATGTTTTCACTTGATCGAGTAAAAAGAACAAGAACTTGCCTCTTGTATCACTTTTTTTTGGATGAATCTCTCTTACATTACTTTTATGTGTGATGTTTTTAAAATGACTAAAAGCATCAGTATGTTTCCTGTTTCTTAGAACCAGGGATTGTTTGATGGAGTTATAGAACCGTTTCTTTTTGCTAAGTGTTGCGTTAAATCACTTCCTTGAAAATATTCTAGATTATTAGCTTTGCTCGGGATGGCTCTTGGGCTCTTGGCATATAACTCGTGTATAAGCAAGCTGAGCCCTCAGTGTTTATCAACTCTGTGTTTTGATGCTTTTCTAGTAAGCAGAATATGTGCATTATTTTTTGTTATATAGATGGGGTTGCAGCCCACACCTTGACTTCCTAGGCTTACTATCCAAAAGAAAATAGGAACTTGGGCTAGCTTTGGTTGTCTTTGGTGTGGTAAACAGCCATGCAACGTGTTGGCATTGAGCCTGGCTACATATGGAATTTATCAATTTTTAAACTTCTTAGTGTTTAGTAGTAATGAAATTTCACTTTGTGCAATGCGAAGCTTCGCTGCACCTTGAAAACATTTGGGTGATCTCACATTATGGCAATATATGTCCAGATCCAGTTCACCTCCTTCTTTTGCTCTAGAGGCTTTTGTTCAGTGTGAAGGAGAACCGCGGTTCAGGCGCTTATGTCAGCCGTTCCTGTACTCGCAATCTTCATCAAATGTTTTGGAAGTTGAGGTATCATCTTGATCATTTTTTTTTCTGTGATGCTTGTTGTCCTTTTGTTTCCACTAAATGCTTGGAACATATATTCATCTTACTTTGCAGTAATGAACATATTTTGAAGTAATACTGAATTAATACTTTTCTAGTTTCTGTGGCATTTAATCTTGGTCTGTTTTCTTAGAAATCCCTTGTCATAATGCCTTAAAGTGGATTTTGATGATACATGGACTCTCTTGAGCATTTGATGGCATTACATCTGTTGGATAACTGGTTCTAATGTTCAAAAATTCACATCAGCTAAAATGCCTAGGTGGGCCAGGCGCTGTCTTGATGCAGGTTGCTGAGGGCAGAAAAATGCCCTCGGCTAGGGTCATATAGTAATTCCCCCCCCCCCCTCCCTAAGAAAGGAGTAAACAGGGTTTTGGGAGACATTCTAAACCCGCAAACCAAATCCGTGCCATCTAGAGAGAGAAAAACTCCCAAAAACCTTGATTTTGTGATTTATTGAAAGATCGATAAATTTTTGAATTTTTGATTTCTTCCGAAATCGAAGGCAATATCTCATGGTGGTTTTCGGAGCTTCTAGTGGTCAAAATTGAGGACTTTTGGTGGCTGAATAGACAAGGTTTGGGCCGACATTGTGTCCATTTTGATATTTTTATTGCATTATGCCGTTATGATATTTGAATATGGGTTTTGATTTTTTTTGCTATAATATATTAAATGTTTTGCATCATTTTGTTTTTTACTTTCTTTTGTCTTTTTATGATATATTTACATGTTTGTAGTTGAAAAGATTGATTTTTTTGTGATTAATTGATTATTAACTCGTTTGGTCTAAGAAGGGTGAGGACGTTAAACTTTTCCTTAACCCGTCCCAAGCCCGGGTAATGGGGGTGGGTTGTGTTAGATAGGCAGCCAATGTAAATCTTTGCCAAAATTTCTCATGAATTTGGAATATATGCTATTTGCTTATGTTAGGGCATTCTGCGTATGGCTCTTAATAGAGTAGAATGGTGGATTGGGATTCGTGTAGCCGACTCCAATTAGTTGGGAAAAGGCTTTGATTATGGTGATGATGTTTGGACGATGAAATTGGCATATTCCGAGTGGTGATGCCATAGAGTTGTTTTGAGTTTTGGGGTGGTCAAATTTATTTGTTTTTTATTTTTGTCTTGGATGCATGGGCAAGTAATGTATTATTTGTAGTCTTTTACAATGACATTTGAAATTTCAAGCAATTTGATGTGTCTTACAATCTCTTTGAGTCTTTGTATCTATAAATTTATCTATAAATTTGTTTTGTAATATTTGTTTTTTCTTTGCCATGAGGAGTTTGGTGCTTTAAGATTGCCCTGAAAACTCCCTAAGGCCTAAAACTCTGCCCTAATAACTCCCTAGTCTTTTTTTTTTTTAGGGGGGGGAGTGGGAGGTTGGGTATGGGTCCCCACCTGTTCCTGGGTGGGCGATCAGGCCTCCAAAATGCCTAGGCCTGCGTTTATTTGAACATTGACTGGTTCTTAGTTCAGAACCAAGTATTTACCGAAAATAGTTTAGAACCAAGTAGTGGTTTGTGTACAGGACCTTTAGAAATTAATTGTTTTGTGAGCTAGTGATAGAGTGTTGACACTCTTGCTAAATTGTGGCAGAGTTCTGTTAAGGAACACTCATACGTTTGCCAGGAAGTGAGTTTTGTTTGCCGGTTTGTCTAGTTTGAACATGTATGTATCTTTTCCCTTGAGTGCTCCTCTAGGAAGTCTTCCATGTTGGTGGAATCCTTCTTTTTTCCATATTCATTTGGAGTGTTTTAACTTTTATACATTGCGGTTTGTTTTATTAAGACTCCAAAGCAACTTACAGGGCTAGTCTTTTGTTACACGATAAGGATTTGCTATATTGGACTTCAACGTAACATTTCATACCCATCAGCTTAATTGAGCCATATCGGTGGTGACTAGATAATGACACCTGCTTACCTCTTAAAACCTTCACCAACATCTCCCTTGTTAGGATATAATGCTTGGTTTTGGCTAGTTCCCCTCGTAGTTATATGTGCTTCACTATTCATTAACAAAGCATTGATTGCACTAGTTCATTTCCGGGAAACAAAGCCTTGACAAAGACTTTTTGACTAATGACTTACTGCTTATGTCTGGTAGCCTACCACTCTGGTGGTGTTCCAAATCAAAATACTTCATTTGAAATACAAGGGAAGGTCGAACATTTATTGATGATGAAGAATATTTTTCTGAGGGGAGAATTTTCTCTTGATCAAAATGATCTTTTCTGAAATCCAATCCATAATGATGTACCCGAAAATACAATATTTTCTTACTTGACCAACCATCAAAAGAAGCAAATGCAACGGGTACACAGTAAGATTGATGATCATATCTCCCACATAGTAGTAGAATATACAGGGGAAGGTTGGGCATTTGTCTTTGATAATAATTATTATTCATAGGAAAGTTATCTTGATGAAAATCATCTTGTCTGAAATGCTAGTACTTTCTGTCATTGCTATGAAATTCTTCCATTACTAAATATAATTTGGTTTATTTTAGTTTTGTAGCAGTGAAGATTTTATGCCACAGGTAAAGACAGGATTGGACCATGAACTGTGCCGAAAAATGGTCAGGCACTGGTCTAACATAAAAAATTGTAGATCTGGCCAGAACCATTGTTGGAATGGCTTGAACTTTTTTTAACTATTATTTTTTGTTTTTTGGGTTCTTTATTAGTTTCTTGATGTCTTTGGTCGCAGTGTGTTATGCCCTTTGGTTGTCCTGCTCTGTCTTTGTTGAGTTTTCTTTCCTAGATCTGACTAAATTATTCCTTTAATTTCTACTATTTCATGTGAATTAATGCAGTAGTTTGGTGTAGGCGGTGGTTACAAATCATCTCGTGGTACGCGGAAGTTATCGCAGTCTGACTTTAGTCATTTATGGCAATACAACAGAAGACATGGGTCAGTTCAGCATGGATTTTGATGTAGATAGTTCAATGACAAACCTAATTTATTCACCCGCCGAGGGAAAACTTGAGGACCTCCCACCTGCACTGCAACGAATCAAGTTGTGTCCAGAGGAGTCTATACTTCCTCTCAAGTCATTGTTTTTTCTAGTTGCAGAACCAGAACTTGCAGTTGAAATGAGACAGCTTTTGCGGATAATTCTAAGGATCTGTCAGGTGTCTCAAGACGAGGAAACCATACGCAAAGTAGTGAAAATCTTTGTTTCAGCTGTTTCATCATTTCTTGCTGCGGATTTAACTGGTAGAACAATTGCTTTGATGCAAGACAAAGGGAATAAGTTGAGTGAAGGGAGTAAGGGTTTACAGAGCATTCTTATTGAGGCAAAAAATGAGCTATTTGAAGTTTATAAATTGCTTCCACGTGAAACAATGAGTTCATCAGCTGAAATATCAGGGGAATACGTTCTTCTAGAAGATGGGGTTGAACCAGACACTCAAGAACTGCTTACAGTTGTATTAAAGCAGTATTTTGAAGTTAATGAAAATTTACTGGATACTGGCATCTCAATGCTTTCCAGGGTAATTCTTCATGCTGTCCTTCTCCCTGTTTCCTAAATGTATTCTAGAAATCTAAGTCATATCTTTACTAAATTACTTTGCATTCTAAAGAGTAATCCCTGTATCTGAAAAATACCCTACACTGGACATATTTGTGATATGTTTTGCAGAATGAGAAACTGGTTGTAGGGTTGAGCGCACTATACCTAATTTGCAGCACTGAAGAGCATTTTTTTCAGTTTGTTAATGGAGGTGGAGTGGATCATCTTGTTGGCATCTTGTGTGATGACATGCAGAAATCAACTGCTATTCACTTGATGCTACTTGGAGTTGTTGAACGTGCAACTAGATATGCCATCGGATGTGAAGGATTCCTTGGGTGGTGGCCACATGAAGATGAACATGTTCCAGCTGGATGTAGCAAAAGTTATAGTCGGCTCTTGAAGTTTTTGTTGTGTAAGCAGCGCCATGATGTTGCTTCTCTTGCAACATATATTCTACACCGTCTTCGTTTTTATGAAGTTGCATCCAAGTTTGAGGTATGTTTTACCATGTCGGTCAACATTTTCTCTATCGTTTCATGAATTAGTTTACATTGAACATTTAGTTTGTTGGATTCTTTTGCATTTGGCATATGGGTGTGGGCCTCTTTTCAGTCAGCAGTACTGTCGTTACTGGGAAGTATAACAGCCGCTGGAAGACTTACAGATAGTAGCACAAACACACTAGTTGCAGCCAACAATGAGCTCAAGAAACTCCTGGTCAGTATCTCCATGATTGTTAACTTCTTTGGTTTCTTTTGATCAGGGTAGCTGTACCTGAAATACTTCATTTTGCAATTATGATTGAAGCCCTTCGGGTCCCTAGCCACCTTGCTTAGGCCAATGTGGGCCCTCCTAGGTGGCCTGCCCCTAGGTGGTGCCTCGCGCCTCAGCTGAGGCATCTGTCTGAGGTTCTCATGGTCCCATGGCAGAAATTGTCCTCAGGCCATGGGAAAAGAGTATTTTTCCCCCCTTTTAAGGAATTTTTTTTCCCCTATTTTTTTTTTTTTTTCCTTGGGGGTGGGGGGTTGGGGAGTTGTTCGGGATATATGCTTAAACGCCCATGCTGCCCCCCCCCCCCACCCCACCCCACCCAAAAAAAAAAAAAAACAAAGACAGAGAAAAAAAGAAATAATTTTTTTGAAGATTGTTCAGATTTATTTTAAATGATAAAGGAAAAAAAAAGTCAAGAAGTTTGATTGAGAAATCTTCTCAAATGTTATTTTTATCTATATTGTGAATTGGATTACATATGGACTTGGTCTATGCTTTGCTGCTTATGTATTTCTGTGTTTGAGTACTTTCGAGTTTTTGACTTTGTGGTATTGGACATGTAGCCATGAACTTACATATTTAGTGGGAAATGACATTTGGATTTTGGATATGCTATTGCTATTACCTTCTACTATTGGAAAAGTATACAATGAGACAATTTACTTTTTGCACAAGGTGGTCATAATTAATCTTGACCATTGGATGTGAAGTTGGATGGCTGCATTCATTCCATTGACTAAGCTCAAACTTCAAAAGAAAATTTCTCAAATTTTGTGGCACACCCAAGCTATTAGATTTCACATTGGATGCTTATACGTAATTGTGACCTCTTTGTATCAAAGGTAAATGGTTTCATTGTATACAATCCCTTTACTATTTGTAGATGTTAGTTTAATCTTACATTTGCTGATATGCAATTGTGAAATGTGATAGTCTCATGATATCGCTGTGCCTGCCCGCCCCACCAAACCACAAAAAACGAAGAAGACCAAAAAGCCACCACCTGCCCGGAAGCCTGGGCGGCATGTTGCTTTTTGGCACTGCCCTGGATTGTTTTTGTCTTTTATTTTTTTTGGGTGAATGCCTGAATTATATTTGTTGGCAAGTGTTATTGCAGAAGTTGTTGAACATGAATTGGCCAATTGATGACCCTTCGCCTGTAGCTTCTGTAAGAGGGTCATCGATCCTTGACCAAGAAGATGGCTTGTTGTCCTACAAAGCGACAATTAAAATGATTGCATCATCTAAGTATTCTTTTGCTCATCGGGAGATTGACGCTCACCTTTTGTCACTTTTGAAGGTACTGTAATATTTTTATATGTATCTTCGATTCCCTTAAAAATGTTTTGAGGTGTTGTAAGCTTTGTACTGTGTATTTGATTGTGTTATTGTTTATTTTTCACCTGTCTTCTTACTTACCACATTCACACTAGTACTTCCTCCATTATACTTCTTCTTTCATAAGTAAAAATAATGTTGATAGATGGGTCCTTATCAAAAAAATAAATAATAAAAAATAAAAACAAGCTTATTCAAAAAAAAAGAAAAGAAAAGAAAAGTTGACGGAAGGGTCCATATCAACGGGGTTTGAGATATTTTTGCAAATTTTGCCCACTTAAATGTTTATCTGGAAACAGGAGAGAGGATTTCTTCCTTTAGCAGCTGCTTTATTGTCATCTCCTATATTACGTTCAGCTACTGGTCGTGCTATGGATTTCTTTGTGGATATCACAACATCCTTTGGGACCATAGTTCTTTCCCTTCTGTTTTGTCGTTCAGGTTTGTCTCATGCTTGTTTCTATGATCTATGCAGTCCGATTGACGTCTTGGATTATGTATTGCTTATGGTATTGCATTTTATGTCGTTTCTCAGGTTTAATCTTTCTTCTTCATCAGCCTGAAGCTAGTGCAGCAATGATGCTTTCAATGCAAGGTGTTGGAGATGTGGATAAGGCAGAATGTTTACCAATTAGATATGCTATGGTCTTGTTATCTAAGGGTTTCTTTTGTCGACCCCAGGATGTTGGCGTGATTGTTGAAACTCATCTTCGACTGGTCAGTTTTGAACTTGCTTGTGACTAGTTTGCACACACTTTTCTGTAGGCCCCATATCATGTATGCTGCTACTGATTTAATAATTTACTCCTTTAGGCCAGTGCAATTGATCGATTGGTCGGCGCTGCTCATCATTCTGAAGAGCTTTTATGGACACTCTGGGAATTGTCTGCTCTTTCCAGGTAGATTAAGTTATCGTAACTTTATCTCAAGAACAAGGTCTTCTTTAGTAATTTTAGCTACTGTTCTGTCACTTAATGAAATGTCTGGTGCAGATCTGATTCTGGGCGTCAGGCTATGTTGACTTTAAGGCATTTTCCAGAGGTACTGCTTTTCTGCGCTGTAATATGTTGGGTACATTGACATCAAACTCTTTAACAGATCATTCTCTTGCTTTCTTCGTTGACTTCTGTTTGATGATTGTTGTCTTGAAGGCAATATCTGTTTTGATGGATGCATTACGTTCTGTGAAAGAACCAGATCCAGTGGGATTGAGTAATGGTATGTTAGTTGGCGATGCTTGCGACTCGGTAACATGAATGATCAGTTGCTTATTTCCATTGTCACTCCATTTTATTAATTATTCTTATATATATATGTATTTCAGGAACTTCACCTTTGAGTCTTGCAATTTTCCATTCAGCTGCTGAGCTTTTTGAAGTAATTGTTACTGATACTACGGCATCTTCCTTGGCTTCTTGGATTGAGCATGCTGTGGAACTCCACAAGGCCCTACATTTATCTTCCCCAGGATCTAACAGGAAGGATGCACCTATACGCTTATTGGAATGGGTGGATGCTGGTGTAGTATACCATCGAAAAGGGGCTCTTGGACTTCTTAGATATGCAGCTGTTCTAGCTTCTGGGGGAGATGCTCACCTAACTTCTTCAAGCGTATTGGTATCAGATTCCATGGATGTTGAGAATGTAGTCGGTGACTCAACATCTGATTCAGATGTTCAGGTTGTCGAGAGTCTGCTTGGGAAGCTTGTATCTGACAATTTTGATGGCGCCCCACTCCGTGATTCTTCCATATCACAACTAACAGCAACATTTAGGATCTTAGCTTTTATTGCAGGAAATCCGGTACATGAATTTCAAAGAAGTTTGTTATTTGATTTTTGATGATCACTGGACTTACTTTTCCTTTCAGATGGAACAATAATTTCATTGTTGCCGACTGAATTTTGTTTCTGGATGAAGGCTGTGGCTGCTGCACTATATGAAGAAGGCGCAGTTACGGTTATTTATATTGTTCTCATCAATTGCAGGTTGATGCTTGGGCATTCTTCCTCTACATATGGTATGTTTCCAAGTCTAAGAAGACATGACTGACAAGCTTGAAAGATTAGTAACTCTTGGGTGAATTTGTTTCCTGAGCATGATTTTTTTCATATGCTATTTTGGACATTTGACTGTAATGGCCTTTCATGGTCCAACAAAACCAATTTTGTGTTTCTCAATCCCAAGGAAAATTTCTATGATTAGAGCACAAGCTCTCTACTTTTGTATTGCGTGTAGTTGCATTGTGTTTGTATCACTCTCTCACCAAAGTAGGTGAATTGGGTCTCTTGGGGATAAGTGGAAGAAATTTGCAAATCCAAGTCATATGGAGTTTTAGTATTGCTATATTAAGGAAGGGTGGGATTTCAAGGGATTTGGGTAGGTCTCCTAGGGTGCTCGAGTAATTAAAGGTCACTACTAATGCAGAAATGGAGTTTAGGAAGGGTATTTCTTATGCTTTAAAGATAAGGATATGATCCTGATTGTCACAGATACATGCATCAGAATTGCTATCCTCAAAATTGGCCTTTTAGTCATGACATAGCCCTATATCATTTAGAGAGGGGAGGGATGTGGGATTATAAGTGATGCTAAGTGATAGCATAGTTGGACACCAAAAAAAAGGGTATGCATTAGTCTTAAGTTTTTGAGGTGTTAGACACGACATTATTGACATGGATGTCCAAGTTATATAGATAAAATAGGTGCAAGTATTGTAGTAGAGTTATTGTGGCTTGTCAGGCTGGTGTCTAACTTGGAGGGTTTGTGGGCTATTTTGAGTTAAATAGGGTTAGAGTCATGAAGTATCCATGCTTTATAAGGCCCTTGAGGCACATGGATGTTCACGAGTTGGTTAGGTTATTGAGGTGGTGCTTATTCCAATGATGGCCTATGGATGGATTTGAAAGTAAGATTGGGGTAGGAACATTTCATCCAGTTATTTCTGTTGCTTTCCAGGGTAGACTATGGTGTCTCTTGAGCTTAGTGATCTAGTATGGGATTTGCGTACAGATCTGTGGCATGTTCGTTGTGAGGAATCATCATAAAATACGTGACTTCTATTTTTATATGTACTCATTTGTAAAGTGGTATAGGAGGCTTAGGATCATGTATTATGATGGTCCTTTTATGAGGCCACCATATAGTTTCCCTCTCAAGCTCTTCGGTGCATGTTTACATTGGTCAATGGATTGTGACCTGTTGGTCAATGGCTCATTCCTTGGAAGGAGGCTTCTATTTTTATATGTACTCATGTGTAAAGTGGTATAGGAGGCTTAGGATCATGTATTATGATGGTCCTTTTATGAGGCCACCATATAGTTTCCCTCTCAAGCGCTTCGGTGCATGTTTACATTGGTCAATGGATTGTGACCTGTTGGTCAATGGCTCATTCCTTGGAAGAGGTCACATCCTTTGGATGTGGCACCCATTATCAACCTTTCGGATGTTTTGGAAACAAAATTCAATCCCCACAGGTTCCAGAGAGCATTTTTTCTTTTTGATGAAAGGTTCCAGAGAGCATATTAGGTATTCTATTGGTTATTTTATTAATATTTTCATGGAATCAATTTGAATGGCATGTTTGATAAATGGAGGACAGTTGTGGGTAGATCGAAGCCAATGGCTGGTGGGTCCAGTACTCAAACCTCTGAAGGGAGCATGAGGTATATCTTTAGTGGTAGTCCACTGGTGAGCCTATCCCATTCTTGTGTGGATGAGGTCTTTAGGAAAGTCGGTTGAAATGTTTTGTTGTTAACCATGGAGCCAGTCGGAGAGTGGGATTCTAATGCTCTGGAAGCTACCAATCTTTTGGCAGGCCTCAAATTGTGCCTCTAATGATTTTTGGGGCCTCTGATGGTGGAGGATGGAGGGCTACTTGCTGAGCGTAATCAGAGGGGAAGACATTAGACCACACACCCATGGAGGATTGTAGACATGGAGGAAATGCTGGATGTTAGTGAGTTTGCTGTACCATTATTTTATCGTATTCTTAGAGACAGCAACTAATTATTTATTATGTTGATGGAGTGGGTGTGAGTACTGTGATTTTCCTTTGGGACATTCTCCATTGCCATTTTCCCACATGTTGATGTTTCCTTTATTGGCTGTATTTTTTATACAAATTGAAGCATGCTTGTATCTTCTCGATTTTTATTTGAAGTTACTTAATATGGAAAGAGGAACAAGGACACTGCATGATACTTGGACGTGGAGTGTCTAGGAATAACATCTTGAACCCTCAACAGTTTTCTTCAGGTATGCTAGCTGAGCTTGGGAATGGAATTACATCTTTTCCTAAGTTAACAGTTATTTGTGCTGTTCTTCACTATCACACTTGACTTTGGACTCATTTTAGGATGCATTCCTATTGTGCTTGCTTACTTAAAGCAGGAGAAACTTATGTTCAGATATTTGGAGGAATGTATAACCCGTGCGAATAACAAGATAGAAACTATAAAAATAAGTATGTATAAGCTCTGCTTAGATCATAGCAGATCAAGTGCTTCACACGTGAAACCAGAATTGTTTGTACTTTGTATATTCATGGCGTGCAGAAATTAGTCCGAAGAAAATTTGGACTTTACAGAACAAACATTTCAGTGGACTAGGTTCTTAATATGAACTAAACCTATTACAAATTGAATATATCCGGACAAGATGACCTTGTTGGACCTATTCCATCTTTTATGTCAGAAAGTTCTTGAAATCTCTAACTTGTTCCTACTTCATAAATTATAAATAGGGAAACTTACAAGTGGGCATACAGGGCTTATATCTACGATTACTTAGTGTTGTAACATATTCTCCTTTTGGTTGGGTTTTTAGGTGGCATGGCCTCTGTGGCTATGTTACTCAACTTGTTTGCTTTGTTAATAGGTAGTTGTCCTGGTGACCTGCAAACCTGTTGTAACCATTTCAAGCAACAATGTTTACAATCGATTGATCCTTCATGGAATTAAACTTGGTTATAGGATGTTTGTTATAACTGCCCTTTGACATTAATTTGACAATGATTTGCATCATTTGTTAGATTTAGAAGTAGAATTGCCAAATTTTCTGATGGACATGTATTAAATGTTCTTATAATCGATGTTCTGGGTGAGTATTTCTTTTTCAGATTATCTTGTTGATGAAGGAGCAGAATGCAATGCCACATCAGATTTACTCTTGGAAAGAAGCCGTGACCAGCGCCTTATGGATCTGTTGGTTCCGGCTCTTTTTCTTTTGATTACCCTTCTGCAGAAATTGCAGGTATTTTGAGCTGATGTTTGGTTTCATAAGTTTGTCTCTTCTATCAGCTGCACAGGATATTAGAAATTCATATGGGTGTTTGACTATTGCTATCCACATGTGTCTAGTGCAGTTTCCAGTTCCACCTATCAATTGATAATCAAAATCTTATCATGTTTTATTGGACTTGACGTAGTTTTCCCTCTGCAATTAAAGTCAAATTCATAAGATTTTTAGTTTCAGGCTGTCATGAAATTTAAGGAATGACTTAAATTTGTAAGTAGTAACTGTCAAATGCACTTGTCTGGCTTTGAACTACTATGCGGGCTACATATGGTACTATTATTGAATTGGATGCTTTATTTCGCGTGAGATTCTCCCTATTGCAATTGATTTTCAGTTAATTCATTTTAGCAGATACTGATGTGGCTGGGGTTGTCACATAAGGTTGAGTTTGGAAGAATGAGTAAGTATACTAGTCTCTACCACAAATCGCTAACCAAAGCAAACCCAATTTTTTCCTTCGCTTCTTTTGTCGTGAAGCTGATATGTGTGAGGTTAAAAAATGGAAGTAACAAACGTGAAAAGAGATCTGGCACTGGTATGTTAAAAAACGTAGAATCATGTTTGTCCGAAGTAGGCTTAAAATCGTGTTGCTTATAATGATAGAAGGTGTGGGTTAGAATTCGTCCCTTGTTTATCATAGTCATGATCAGAGTTGTATGCCCTATGAAATGTATTCGTCAACGTTATCAGGCACAGATTGCTTGTCGAATCGGTGGGCACCCTTGTCTGATCAAACCGGTTGGATTTCTCTTTTGAAAAAATAAAATGGAAAGTGAAAAAAATAATTTGAAATGTAACGAATCCAAAAAAAATAGGAAATTTCTATAGAAAAGAAAATTTCACAAGAAAAAGCGCAACAAGCTGATGAAACAAAAAATGACGTAGGATTAGAAATGGGTTGATTTGAGTAAAGGTTTTGGGCACTCAAGGGGTGGAAAATGGCTGAAAAAAAGGGGCGCGTTTTCAGCTAGATCTTTTGGAAGAGAAAAGTCTTGGCAGATCTACTGATTTCGAGAACTGGACATCATGTAGAGTAACATTTTCTTTTGATGATCTTTACTTCTCTTATTTCCATAAAATATTTAACAAAGGGCAGCAAGAGAAGATTTGTAAGATATTGTGCTTGATGTCAAAAAACCCAAACTTTAGCTTAGCAAGATGCTAAATGTAGTGGAGAAACCATAGTTGTTGGAAGCGCCTAAGATTTCGAATCATTTTAGGAAACGGAATTATGGAATCATGGCTGTTTTGAAGATCGCTGTTTTTGAAATCGATATCCGTGCAAGGGAATTTCGGGAAACGAGATCTCTACTTTATTGGAGTAGAGATTTGACCCAAATAGAATTACGATCCCTACATATATGGGATTGAGATTCCATCATCTTTGTAATTGAGTTTTTGACCTATTTGGAATCGAGATTCCTTCCTATATGGAATCGAGTTTTCGATATCTTTGCAATCAAGTTTTTGACTCGATGCTTCTCATAGGTTCTGAATTATTTATTTTGTAATTCATGGCCTTATGTTTGTGTTTCTAATTTGATGGAGAGAGTATCATTATATGTGGAATCAAGATTCAAACAATGTAGAATCGAGACTTAACAATTTGAATCGAGAATCAATAAATATTGGAAATGATATTCTAATACGTGTTGGATTCAAGAGTCCTAAAATAAGGAATCGAGATTTCTAACTTCACGGAAATGAATTGCATGAAGATTCTTTGTGGGAATCGCAGAATTGGGATTCCGATTCGGAATCACGACCTTGAGTGAGAGATTCTGATAACTATAGGAGAAACAACATTTAGATATGGGGTTTGATTACCACCATGAGTTTCTTTAGAACTAGACATGTATCTATCTTCCTCCAAAGCATGAAGACAAGTGTACGGGTGTGGTGATCTCCAACCCAAAGGTATTCTGGTTTGGTATTGCTAAATCAACTTCAGGTCTTATAAGAGAGCACACTAGCTCTCCTACAAGGCCTGAGCCCTTATATTTGATAGAAAAGCTTGGTGTGGAGAGAAAGAGAGAAAAAGAGAACGAGAGAGAAGAGAGGGCGTGAAATCCCCCTTGAGATCTTATTTGGGGATGCCAGCCTCTTTTATTAAGTATATGTTTTTGCATTTTAGAACAATGACATTGACTATGGTAATTACGACATCATGGTACAAAACAAAATATAAAATGACTACAATGTACATTATATTTTAAGTACATATTCTTAGGTCTTAACATGCCCCTCAAATTGTACATTGGGTTTGAACATGTGCAATTGTCCTTTGGAAAATGATGCCTTTCACTTGTGAGTCCTTTGGTGGAAGATAGAAGAAGGGGTGATTCAAATAGGACATATTGGAACTGAGAATCAAATATCTTCTTGTGTGCAAAATGATAATTGACGTCGATTTGATTAGTGCAATCATGGCAAATGGGAAGAGTTGTGATAGCTAGTGAACTTTGTTTATAGCGATAAATTGTTGAGCGTAGCATTTTATGTCCAAGCGATTTAATCAGGTTCCGAATCCAATAAATCTTTGCTACAACACTAGCTAATGCTCTGTACTCAGCTTTTTTGCTTGATCTGGCTATAGATTTTTGCTTCTTGCTGCTCCAATATACCAAATTTCCTAAATAAAGAAATTATCCTGAAATCGACCCGCATGAGTCAGGAATTTCTGCCGAATCGGCATCTGAGTATCCAATAATGGAAGCAACACACACATCTTCTATATGATTTCTATGACTTGCGATGCCGTTACTTATAATACCTTTGATGTATCAGACTATATGTTTTAAGGCTTCCAAGCGAGTATTGGTAGGAACATGCATAAATTGGCATACTTGATTTACTGCAAGTAATGTCAGGGCGAGTAGATCATATATTGAAGTGCACCTGGCATGATTTGTTATTTTTCGGAATCATCAATTAATTTTCCTTCACTAGCTCTCAATCCTTTGTCAAGGGCTGCAGGTGTTGCTGATGGTTTGCAATTCAACATACTGGATTGCTCTAGTAAATCTAGTGCATAATTATGTTGAGATAATTGAAATTTGTCCTGGGTCCGGTCCACTTCTATCCCCAGAAAACATCTCAGTTCTTCAAAATCTTTCATTTTGAAATTGTTGTGGATATAAGTTTTGATATTTGCAATAATGTCACAAAAATATCTTGTGATTATAGTATCATTCGCATATAAGAGAATGGTCATAATACTTTGTGTTCTTGTGAATGAATAGGGAGTGATCCACTATTATCCTCATAAAATCATATGCCTTTTTTGCGAAAAACTCTGAAATCAGGTACAAGAGGCTTGCTTTATACCATAGATAGATATCTCCAGTTTGTATACATATTTTTTATGAGGGGTTGCATTTATGAGGGATTGCATACATATTTTGTGGGATCCTTTTCACAGAAACCATGTGGCTTCTCTATATGTACTCTTTCCTATAATTCTCTATGGAGAAATGTGGTCTCTTTACATCAAGCTGGAAGAGAGGCCAATCATGTGCCAAGACTAAGGACAAGACTAGTCGAACCATGGTAGTCTTAACAACTGGGCTAAAAGTTTGATATAGTCAATTCATGCCATTGATTGAATCCTTTTGCCACTTATCGAGTTTTAAATCAGTTGATACTTCCATATGGCTTGTATTTTATGTTGTACATCCATTTACTGAACAATATTCCTCTTAACTGGCCTCTTCACAGTTTCTGTGTTATTCAAAAAGGATGGCCTTCATTCACCTGCCATTACTTAGCCTATTTTGGATCCCTTTTTGCGTCAGGTTCCTTTTGTTTAAGAGTTTCATAGATAAACACCTGATAGTCATTGGTAAAGCCTCCATAGCTTATCAATTGGTCTATAGAGTGGCGTACAGTGCTAGATCTTCGGACTTGTTTACGTGCTGCAATAGCTCTGATATTATCTTCTTGTCTCTCCATTTTGTCACCCACATTACAAGAATGTTACCCTTATGGTATATATGTGGAACCAGCATGCTCTCCTTTCTTTTGTCTACTATAAACATTCAGCTCCTTGGGGACCATCACGGTGTTGCTTAGATGGAGGTTCCTCATCATAAATATATTCAAAATCTTTGTGAGGGTGATGGCCAACATCCTCATCAATAATACTAGAGAGATGGGTGTCATTGGTGGGACATCCAGTGAGCACAACAATTTCTTTTTGCATCATGGGTCATGCTGGTTATCTTGAACTATACCGTCATTGGCCTTGTTTTCATCTTACTATGAAATAGTTTTAGGTGGATTGCGCATTCACATTCCACCGAAGTTAGCATTTCTTGTGATAAAAACATGTTTCGTTTATATGTTGTAGAGTTGTGGACAAGAAACTTGTTGCTCTATCCTGTTATTCTTTAAGTAGTTCTTAAATACATGAGATGAGAGCTCACCTCCATCACTAGAAAAGAACAAGATTGATCTACAAAAATGGTTCTAAGCAAAATTTTGAAACTGTACCAATGTTTCAAGTACTTGAGATCATTCCTTGAAGAAATAAATCCTAGTATACTGTGAAAATCATCCACAAAGATCACATAATATCTGGTATGAGAAGAAGCAACTGGTGCAGGTCCCAACACATCAAAATAAATTAATTCAAAAGGTGAGGAAGCTATTTTATCAGAATTGGAAGGGGGGATTTTGGAATGTTCACCAAATTGACAAGCATGAATGAAAATTTGACTCTTAGACGATGATGGGATTAGACCCTCTTTACATAACTTACTGACTGACTCATGACTACAATGCCCAAGATGGTGGAGCCAAACATTGATATCCTCACTTATTTGAAATAAAGAATGTAGCAATGGGGGCTTCCTTGATTCATCATTCGAGACATAGATATCCTTGTCGGATATGCTCAACGAACATTGTGCTGGACAACAGATCCTTAAAAAAAATTAAAAAGAAAAAGAAGAAAA